AAAAAAAAAAAGAATGCTCTGTGTCATCAGGTCGAATTCCTTAACGTAACAAGATAAAGCATTTTAATTGCATCTTGCGTTTCCAAAATGTACCTACGCAGTGACATTTAAGATTCAGAGTTGAAGGGAAACAAAGTTCATTACATAAGCATTCAAGAAATTCCATTCGTTGCACAAGTTTTGGCTGACATAACATTAAATTCTCAGTAATATGAGTGTTACATTTACCATCAAGCACTTACGTTAAAAGCAAACGTCTTTCGTGAAATCTTCAACTTTTCCGAGGGCAAAAAAAATATGTCTACACTTCAAGCTTTCGTATTGTACAATCATTGTAGGCAATTAGACAGTCGTACACATTCTTAAAGATGCTACTCCATTTTTTAAATAATTAATCTGAATTTTGAAAAAAAAAAGTAAAAAAACTGGATCACAGAAACAAATGCCCACAAACCAGTGAATTACGACAGATTACAATAGATGACACCAGTAACATTTTTAAACACAGCTGGTTTCAGTTTTTTTGGAATAGTGATTCTGTGCTTAAAATGTTACCAGATAATTTTAACCACACTGTACGGTTCAATAATACGTAAATATTTAGTACCTGAGGATGACAGAACTGTCGAAAGACGTCGCTATAATTAGGGTGTAAGATTCTACAACTGCGCTTACGGATAGAATAAATACATATTTTTACCTGAAAATCCATCACGATATTGATCATAAAGAAACCGCTCACAGTTCTTAGCTCATTCTAAAACACGCTGGGACAGGACATCTGTTTCTAGAGTCCTCCGCCTCCGATAACCGCACAGTGCAGTTCATTTTGTGGCAGCGTTCATCAACAAATAAATACGAATCACCGAGTAAACTCGATCATGTGGTCGAATGGACAGTACTAAGTAACGAGACTACATGAGAAGCTTAGTTACCGACGAGAGTATACGATAAAATGTATCTAAAAGAATGACTGGAATTCCGTCTTAACGCGTTTTAGAGCAATTTATTCCTTCTCCAACCTTTTTAGATTATAATTAGGCCTCAGGCCCATTATATTCACAATTCTTAAGACGTTCTGTAGAATTCCGTGCGTGGAAAATCCACCCCCCATTAAGGAAGACATTATCTGGACAGAAAACAAAATCTGCAAATGACTTTGACAAATAATTCCGGAAAAAATACCGATTTGAGGGGGGGGGGGTCTCAAAAATGTTTTCGAAACGAATTTGTTCGGTTAGTATCCTGCTCATAGTGGAAATATGAGCCTAAGCCCCCATATAAATCTTCCACCAACTGGTGATATGCGATGCTTGTATACTATTTCAGCATTTTTGTGAATCCCACCCACAACGAATTTAACGATTAAAGTGTTTGGTGTGTTAAATGCTGAAATACTGCTGTTTTATGTACGGTACTTTCACTGAAATATGATAGTATGTTGCAGACCGACGTCCATTCCGTCATCAGCATATCGATAAAAGTAATTAAACATTGCAGAAATCTTTAAAGAAAACTCACACGAACAAATTTTCTGTACGAGTCAACTTTGAGAGAATCAACCACAAATCGATTAGTCTCGCGTAAAGCAGGGGGGGGGGCCATACTCGACCAAATATAAAATAAATGTGAGCGACAACTTTTGTGAACACACCCTCAATTCTAAATTTCGTCGACATTCGTACATAAATTTCGGATCTGAAGCATGCGAACAGACAATGTCCCTCCATTTTATGTCTTTGAGACGAAAACATAAAATTACGGAATGAATACGACGCTGTCATCTAACGAGACATCTATGATAAGTAGGATTCCTAATGCGTAAAACAACAAAGTGTGGAGTGGAGTCGTAACAGTTAACTGTTTCAACGATCCTGCAGACAAATGTGGCTGTGGGTCATTACACCGAGCTTTGGCGCCACTCAAAATACGTACTTCTATCGATCTGAGTGCAAGTACGCACAGCAACGCACCGCGGTAAGAGACCAGAGCGTTACCATTCACCACTAAACCAACTGAGTCATGGATAAATGTGTGTGTTTACCAGCAGATAGATTATATACATACGATAACAAAAATCAAACAAATAAATAAGACCGAAATTTTGCTAACACCAACACGAATTATCAGAAGACTAAATATGACTTACGCAAGCAAAATTTACAGATGACCTTTAGACCAATTCTCTCTACCAACAGACGGTCCGTGGCGTCTTCCCACTTTCCAGCGCTCCATGATTTCTAGACTACTTTTCACCAAACATTATCTGTACGGCCAAATCAGGGAGGATAAGATGGGAGGGGCATGCAGAGCGTACGGTAAGATGTAAAAAAAAAATCGCGTACCGAAATTTATTGGAGACCCCGAAGATAAAAATCCACTCGAAGAATGGGAGGACAATATTAAAATGCATCCTGGATAGCTAACAACGGTACGTCTCGACCAAATCGATCTGGGTCAGGTTAGGGACTCGCGGCGGACTCTTGTAAACACTGTAACCTTAGGGTTCAATAAAGAACGGGTGATTCGTAAACTATTTATTATTATTTAGTGTTCTGTCTGACGACAGGTCCATATGACCAGGATCCTTCCATCCTTTTCTCGGACTGGGACCTGTTCATATACGTTCTTGGCAGATGATCCAGAAGTGGTTTGCCATTGCCTTCTTCTGTGTGTGAATGGAGTAATTGTTGGGATGCCACAAAGAAACCGGGGAAGCCCCCGGAGGAAAACACCGTGTTGCCCAGACCACGGCCTTGCCCAACACAATATATAAATTCGGGCACCGCCGGGAATCGAACCCGAGACCAAGGCAGCGTTCTAACCGCTAGACCACCGTGGAGGTGTTTCCGAAGTAATGGATGGTAAAGGATAACCATCGATTTCTAGAACTAATACTTAATTTCAAGGCTTTTTTTAAAAAAAAAAGTGTACTCATCAGAGTGCTGATTTGAATCTTACAATAAAATCGCTAATCATAACACATTAACGTGGCGTATAAATGATACAGTACAGGGAAACACAATTAGGAGTGTCAGATGTAAATAACCAAGTAAAGAATCCGACGTAAAACGAAGAGGAACCATTTTCCAAACTGAAAAGTGTTTTGTTGAACGTGGCAGTGTACTGACCTTCCATGTTGGGGTCCCACGATGCCGAAGTCATACGCTGAACTTGCCGTAATGTCGGAGTCAGGAATCGCTCCGGTTTCGAGTCCCAGGGGCACACCGCAGTTCACTGTAATCAGAACCCATAAAAAAACAACCCTTAGTGCTATCAAATTCTGTACTGCGGGAAGGTCAGAGATTTGTTACTACATTGACCAAGGATGGGAAATTTACTAGAGAGCAAATGTTGTTAATTGTGTTAGCTGTTTATTTCAGTGTACATAAATCACTTGTTTTGCAGCCTGAAGTACACTGAAATCTTGGACCATATCGGTCCAAAGTCCAATTACCCAACTAAAAGCCATGTTAGATTTTTTGGTAACGATAATCATAAATCAAAAGAATATTTACAAAAAAAAAATAGCAAACTAAATTCGACGAATGCCTACTGCTACCAATCAGTTCAGAATCGACTGACTTTTAGTTTCCTAAGATCGTAAATATATTCCATAACAACGCAGAGAAGTACAAAAATGTTCCGGAAAATGCAAAGGGAAAGCCTCTGACGGAAATCGAACTCCGGTCGTGCAGCACACAGCTTGTCACTTCAGTAACTGAGCTGTCACGTTGCCACAGAAGAGGAGGGTTGTGGTTATAAATGGGTCTGGGTACTGCAGTTGTGTGGCTGTCCACCCGCATACCACGCATGGTCCGCGATGAACTGTTGTAAACTGAGCTCCTGACATGAACCAGACATCGCTGCTGAGCTCTGTGTCTGTCTAGACGCCAGATGGATCACGGCGTGAATCAATACATTTTAAGTCACATTCGGTTCATACCTTAAAAAAGGACTATTTCATGATTACGACGTGCTGTTTCAAAATCACATCAGATTACTGACGTCAGTTGATACAAACAAATGGATACGATGCGATATCGACGCAGAGTAATCGATATCTATGATAGATTCAGCGTAATTCATTAAGGGTTTTTTTTCCTCCCATTCTTCGATCGCCACGACTTTAATGTGAGATAATTATTAACTTAGTTACACATTTTGTTGATCGTCTGGGTTCTAATATGGGAACTTTAATTTGGTTCCATATTTTCCTAGTTACGGCGTCTAATTAGTTTCCTGTGACACAATTTATAAAATTTGCACCGACAATGAATGCTGGGAGCGTTTGAGAAATGAAATATATACACAATTCGTCTGAGCGAAACGTGTTCTGTTGTTTTCTTCTGACTCCGAGACACACGCGTGCTTAAACCTCCATAAAATTCAAAGTCTACCAAGTTCCACCATAATTAAACAGTAGAGTTATTTTCAAACAAACATTTAACATAAACATAATAAAACGGTTCATTTCAACATAACTTCACTTCAGCTAGAATTTAATAACGGTATCCAAGGCTGGAACGAGTTCTTCGTTTACTTCAAAACTAACGTTTAACAACACCGAACAAATTAACGATCAAAATCCACGGAGTAAAATACATGAGAAGGTAAACAAACATGTTCAGTCAAGCAATGCCTTGCATTTTATGGAACAAGAATGTTCATTACTGTGTTCACAGAAGCCTGTATTCGGTCCCTAACTTGATAAACGTGAGTCGAGTTCACACCACTAAACCGTATTTCCTTGAGATCCATTTTAATATTATTCTCCCACGTACGCTTACGTATTCCTTTCAGATTCTCCTACTACATTTTTCTTACGTCACACTTACAATTTTAAATTTGTGTCTGACAACAAAATTTTTACCCCGATTCTGACAGTGGTTTATTTAATTGTGTATTGTAATTCGTACGGGAAAAAAACACCAAAATATCAGGTGGAATTTTCCCCTACAGATATTCAAACCAAGTATATAGCGATTACAGACAGGCGAGTTAGCGATGAGCTAAGTTGTCCAGTCTTACACCTTGAAACGCGGTAATTTTTTCCAGGTAGCCCTTAATGTGGTTGACAGCCATGAAACCACCGCATAACCCTCGGAAGGTCTCTAACCCAGGACGAGGGAGTTCGCTTCGCAAGATATCGCACGGTCTATATGACTGGCTGTGAATACGATAAGCTTACAAATAAAAATATATTTTGTAGATGTTCCTACTTGGGTAGCTTAGTAAGACTTTACTAGCTGCACCTACCAGCTATTAGTTCAGGTTTATAATACAAATTTCCAGGTGTCGTGACACCTATTAAGCTGGTAACCATTAATCTCCTGAGTCAGGCAGTTTCCATCTGCGTCCCAACAAATGACAAGTTTTACAACTCGCAGACAAACTAACAAGTCTGTTCAAAATGGAAATTACCCACAAAAGAGAAAATATTGTACTCTCTGGTTCCAGGACGCCTCACAAGAATAAGCTGTTGCAGTCAAGGGTTAGCACCGATCTGAAAATGTTTCGCACAAAACCTAACTAAGAATTAAAACCCTTAGATACGAAATTAAATAGAGCGAGGAGGCACTCAGTGGTTGCGCCATTACCGATATTCATCGCCGAGTGGTTAGCACTTCTGCTTCGTGATCAGGAGGTCCCGGGATCAAACTTCGGGCTGGAGACCGGCTGTCTTGACTGTTTTCGTAATTTTCCTGAGCAACCCCAAACACACATCTTTGGCTTATTAGTATGGGCCCTGTAAGATTTGCCAAGCTACGACGTTTATGTTAAATGCTAGTCGAGAGACATTACGATGTATCTGACCTACGTGGCACCCGCGCTGTACGTGCAGCTAATACGCCAACTCCGCTTGAAATATATGAAGATACAATCTTCCTTATACAGTAACCAACCTCCTTAGTTTGTTTAGCCACGTGTCCTGTTCCTTAATGTAGGGGGCAGGAGTGGTCCACTCAATTTTCCTTCGAATAAATAACGTTTGCAGGTTGGTAATCCCCCTAGGTCACGCGTGCAACCTCATGAACACTGTCCTGCCATGCAATTACTTACACTTGTTAAAGACTTTTTCGAGTTTTCACAGATAAGTAGTCACAGGGACAGGTTTATAATTTGTTTGTTCTTTAATTACATCAGCTTCCAACTAAACACGGTTAATTTAGACCTAATAATAAGAATCAGCACGTATGTTCCACACATTTGTTTTAAAACGCAAATATATTTGTGTGGTTATGCTAAGCAGCAGAGGTATTCAGCATAATTTATCTCAAACTGCACAGACATCTTAATATCTGCAATTACATTTTACAAAGTTCTACTTTTATAGGTCAATATGAGCAGTAGGTAGGATGAAAACAATTTTGGGTATTTTAAAACATCGGTCATTCCCTTTACTTCAGGTTCTACAAATTCTTGTGACATTCCGGTGTAAAAGAAGGAAGGTTCTGCTTCTAAAACGAACGCAACAGTTTGATTACGACGAGTTATATACTTAATTAACAAACGGTTTCCCCGCGTACTCCCTGCTTAATGAGAGGCTGGGGTCATCAGAGAAGATTATCCGAGTAACAGGAATTCGTAACAGAAACATTGATCAGATTCACGGTACGTGATGAAAATAGGTTGTCTCTTGGTCATTTTCAGTCCTAGACTACGAGATTTGGAAATGCTTTCAGAAACAGTTGGAAGAACGTCCGTCTAATACAGTAATCTGAGTCTTGAAATTTCAAAACGCGGTCGGTCCTGACACTATAAATCTGTTCGTAGCACTTGTGATATCCAGGGACGGAGCAATCAAACGCGAATTGTAAGTAACAAGGAACTAATAATATTTGAAACGTGATGCACATCAGTAAGAAGTTCCTAATTAACATTCAACGTAGTTACGACTTAACGCTAATATAGTGCGCTATAAAGTACTCCGCTTAATAATTTTACTTACAGCGAACATTAAACTGGGAACTGAAACAAAGCACATCTGTTAGAAATATGAAGGAAGCAACGTCACTTTCAGAACAGCTTCCGAAATAACTCTGCTTCAATAAAACGAACAAGAGTATCATTATTCAGTTGGCGAGAAATAATAAACACAGTATTACAATTCTCTGTGACATTCTCTTTGGCTGCAACAATAAATATATTTTAAGAGTCGGTCCACATCATCTAAAGCTCAGTATCCCCTCTCATCTGTCTACATTCCCTTAATCCGATTTCACAAGCTGACACGTCGCGAAATTCCCCACCCCCTCAACTCACTTTACTCCATGTTCTTGCTTCAGCATCCGTGCACAATTGTTATTCCAACAAAGTCAGCTCGCAACCCACTCAAAGTTGTTAATCCAATCCTGGAATCGTGCGAGGCATTTCTTTGATGTCGGAGAGGTGGATACAATACGAAGGCATGGACTCTGACAGCAACTGCTTGTTATTAAACACTGGCCTCTGCTATGCCATATATCTGTCGTTAAATAGGTTATGCCACGCTTTTCATTATACTCATGATTGCCTGTTAGGTCGGCTACAGTATTTCCGCCTCAAGTAAGAATCCGGGATTACCCACACTTCAATTTGTGGTTTCAATGCCCTTTTTCCCTAAATTCTACGAACTTGTCGAAAAAAGATGAAGCTATCTTATCCTTCAGTTCATAAGTTAATGCAAAATTCTATGACCGTCTTCGGGCATGTTGCGTAATTTTTTTTATTATTAGTGTTCTGTCTGACGACAGGTCCGTTTACTTGGCAGATGATTCAGAAGTGGTTTGCCATTGCCTTCTTCTGTATGTAAATGATGATGAATGTGAAGTAATTGTTGGGATGCCACGGAGAAACCGGGGAAGCCCCGGAGGAAAACTCCGTGATACCT